AGCTTCCCACGGGGCCCTGCGGCGCGCTGGGGCGTGCAGGCGCCCAGGCCTGGGGGGAGGCCGCGAGCCCCGCGTGTCCCCGGGGCGCCCGTGGGTGACACCGCGCTCCTCCCTGCTTCAGTGCAGCTGGGGGCGACAAGGGGATGGACGCGATGGTGACAAGGGGATGGCCGTGGTGGTGACAAGGGGACAGCCACGGTGGTGACAAGGGGATGACCACGATGGTGACAAGGGGACGGCCGTGGTGGTGACAAGGGGACACCCATGGTGATGACAAGGGGACAGCCGTGGTGGTTGCAAGGGGATGGCCACGATGGTGACAAGGGGACAGCCGCAATGGTGACAAGGGGACAGCCATGATGGTGACAAGGGGACACCCACGATGGTGACAAGAGGACAGCCGCAATGGTGACAAGGGGACACCCATGGTTCTGACGAGGGGACAGCCGCAGTGGTGACAAGGGGACACCCATGGTGATGACAAGGGGACGGCCACAATGGTGACAAGGGGACAGCCGCAATGGTGACAAGGGGAGGGCCGTGGTGGTGACAAGGGGATGGCCACGATGGTGACAAGGGGACAGCTGCAATGGTGACAAGGGGACAGCCGTGGTGGTGACAAGGGGATGGCCGTGGCACTGGTGCTACCGGGAGACAAAGCCACCGTTGTGCCGTTGGTGGCCGCGCCGCGGGGACGCTGCAGGGTTGGGGACGCCGCGGGGTACCCGCCGGGGGGTGCTCTGCCCCTGCCGAGGTGGCACTGTGTCCCCAGCTGTGTCCCCGCGGTACGCAGCCGTGTCCCCGTGCCACCGCAGGAGCGGCGACGTCCCCGTGCTGCCGTGGGGACAGGCGTGTCCCCACCCCGTGTCCCCGTCCCCATGGTATCTGCTGGCCTCCCCGTGCCGCCACAGATGGAGCCACGTCCCCAGTGTCCCCAGTGTCCCCAGCCGCACGGTACACACCCGCACCTCTGCCACCACGGACGGAGTCGTGACCCCAGTCCCTGTGTCCTCGTGTCCTCCATGTCCCTGTGTCCCGTGTCCCCATCTCCCCCACGCCCCTGTGTCCCCCAGATCCCCCATGTCCCCTGTGTCCTCATGTCCCCTGTGTCCCCTGTGTCCTCCATGTCCCCCAGATCCCCTGTGTCCCCATGTCCCCTGTGTCCTCTGTGTCCCCCATGTCCCCCTGTGTCCCCCAGATCCCCCATGTCCCCTGTGTCCTTCGTGTCCCCCATGTCCCCCAGATCCCCCGTGTCCCCATGTCCCCCATATCCCCTGGGTCCTCTGTGTCGCCCCGC